CAGGCAGCATCAGAGGAGCAGGAAAGCTGACGTTTCTGGTCTGGACCCTTCTTCAGAAAAAGAAGGGTCCAGACCCGAAACATTAGCTTTCCTGTCCCTCTGATGCTGCCTGGCCTGCTGTGCTGATCCAGCTCTACACCTTGTTATCTCATTAACAATCAGGACTTCAGATGCCAAAGCCCTAAACTCTGGAATTTCACACCTTAACCTCTCTACTTCTGCCTCTCCTCCTTTAACATACTTGATAAAAGCCTACCTTGTGGACTAAGGTTTTAGTCACCTACCCAAATATCTCCTTAAATGACTTAGTGTCAATTTTCATTTGCTGGAACAGCATAACTCCTTGGAACTATGTTAATGGGATTATGCAGATATAAATTTCTGAATGATGCCCTGCATACTTGCTCCCTTTCAATCTAATCTTAACAAAGGAGACTCAGAGAAGGGGAAAGAGGATCATTATTCCTCACAATTTAAGAGCAAAACCAATTTCCAAAGCAATTACAGTTTAGGCTCTTACCCAGGCAGTACAACGTTTACACTGTCTGGATCCTCAACCATATTGCTCAGAGATCTGTGTCTGTTTGTACATTCCTATGGTAAAAGTCAGCTGTTTGTTTATGATCCTTTACAATTTTACATAGTTCATTTTGATCTAACTGGTCTCCTTAATTAAGCAGAGGTTTGGACTGGTGGCAGTTCAGAGAAAATTTCTGTGATTAGGGCAGGTTGGACAGATGGGAGCTGCACTGGTTGGAATTTAGAAGATTGGAGATGTGATTTTTTTTTAAAAAAACATTTAAGATTCTGAGTGATCTTGACAAATGGATGCAGAGAGGATGTTTCCCTTACAGGTGAGTCTAGAACTACTAGGGCCACAGTTTAAAAATAAAGCAACTCTCATTTACAATAGAGATGAGAAGAATTTCGTTTTTTCTCTCTGTGTGGGTCTATAGTTTGTGGAATTTTCTTCACAGAGAACTGGAGGCTGGGTCATTGAGATAAATGGGTTTCCGATTGACAAAGGGTTCAAGACCAATGGGAGACAGGCAGGAAGAGGAGGTAAGGCCAGAATCAGACCAGCCATGACCTTCCTGGACATCAGGACAGTGTTCTTATGCTGAGGGGCCTCCTCTTTCTTATGGTGCCCACCATAATGTAACACACAATATAACGTTCTGTTGCAGCCATAGCCTAGTGAACTACTAATCCAGAGACCCAGGTAAAGTCCTGGGACCTGGCTTTTAATCCTGCCACAGTAAATGGTGGAGTTTGATTTCAATAAAATAAATCTGGAATTAAGAGACTAATGATGAGCATAAAACTATTGTCAATTGTCAGAAAAACCCATCTGGGTCACTAATGTCCTGTAGGGAAAGAAAATGCCATCCTTACCTGGTCTGGCCCACATGTGACCCAAACCCATAGCAATGTGGTTGGCTCTTAACTGCCCTCTGGGCAATTAGCGATGGGCAATAAATGCTGCCTAGCCAGCGACACCATCATCCCATAAATGAATAATGAAAAAAAACACACCACTGCAGACTGAGTTAACAAGGTGTGGAGATGGTTGAACACAGCAGGCCAGGCAACATCAGAGTGAGTAAGGCCTCTCAGATCCATGTTTCAATACCAGTCCATTCAGTGTAAATGCAAAATGGTTTGGCGATGGTTATTGTTAAATGACTGATTGTCTCCCTCAATGAATGGGGACCAAATGTCAAAGATATAGCTCTGTGTAGCACTGAACCACCTTCTGCAAATGTGCAAATGCACTTAGCTCAAAGGGGAAGATGTTAATGCAAAACAAAAATATATCACTCAGCCGATAAGCCTTCCTGAAGTCTGCATTTTGCTGAAGGACAAAGATTTTCAACTCTGCAGTGTCTGGTGCAGGAAACATAACAGGAAAAGACAGGGGAGATAAAGATAAACTATTTCCATAGTTTGGAGATTCTAGAACTAGGGGCATCGTCTTAAATTAGGGCCAGACCATTCACGAGAGATGTTAGGTAGCACTTTTTTTACATTCACTTGTGAAATAGGGGCATAACTGACTGGGTCAGCATTTATTGCCCATCTCTAGTTGCCCTTGAGAAGGTGTAGTGGTCTGCTTTCTTCAACTGCAGCAATCCATTTGGCAGGCACATGAAGTTAGGCCACAGATCAGCCATGATCTTATTGAACGGTGGAACAGGTTCAACAGGCTAAATGGCCTACTCCTGTTCCCATGTTCCATGTGCTGTAGATAGACCCACAATGTCACTGGGGCAGAGTTCCAGGATTTTAACCCAGCAACACTGAAGAAATGGCAATATATATATCCTGGAGTGGTTCAAGAAGGCAGCTCACCATCACCTTCTCAAGGGCAACTAGGGATGAACAAAAACTGCTGGCCCAGTCAGCAACACCTACATCCCACAAGTGAACAACAAATTTGTTTTAAAATACAGGCATAACTATACTCACAGCCACACCTTTGATCTGAAGAAAGATGCAAATCAAAGTTGCAAATGGATAGGAAATAACTTGCATTGATATAGCTCCTTTCATGACCCAAAACATTTTATAGATGATGAAGTATTTTTTTGGAAGTGCAGTTATAATTGTTACATAAGGAAATGTGGTCGCTGATTTCCGTACAGCAAGATCACACAAACAGTAACATGACGATGGAACGATAATCTTTTATGTTTTGGTGAGTCATTGTGCGAGAGATGGATATTCATCCTGGATATTAGAAAGAACTCCCTATTTTTTACAAGTATGGCACAATAGGATCTTCGATGCTTACCCGAGGGGGCTGAGGTGCTACGGTTTAAAACATCTCATCTGATTCCACAATGCAGCACACGTTTTCTTTTGAGGCTGGAAGCAGAGGCTGATGATAGAGGAACGTTTCCGTGTCTGTTTCCAACAGGGTTCCACAGGACTTGGTGCTGGGACCCTTACTGTTTGTGGTGTACACTCATGAGTCGGCCTCTACTGTAAAGCATCTGATCATGAAGTTCACAGATGACATGAAAATTAGTTGGCTGGTAATTACTGAGGAGGATATCCATAAACTGCAGGAAGATATCAATGGACTGGCCAGCTGGGCAGGGCAGTGGTGAATGTAATTCAACCTGGAAAGGTGTGAGGTAATGCAATTAGGGAGGGCTAACAAGGCAAGGGATCAAACTATGGATGGCTAGATCCTGGAAAATATTGAAGTACCTTGCTGTACATATCCACACATCCCTGAAGGTAGCAGGGCAGGTAGATAAAGTGGCTGAGAAGGCATTGGGGAACCTGCCTTTATTAGCCACTAGAGCAGGCAGGTTATGCTGAATAAACACTGTTTAGTGATAAAACAATGCGTAAAACACTGATTAGGTCACAGCTGAAGCACTGTGTGCAGTTCTGGTCACCACACTATAGGAAGGATGTGATCGCATTGGAGGGAGTACAGAGATTTATGAAGAGGTTTCTTGGGCTGGAGGATCTGAGTTTTCTGGAGCAATTGGATAGGCTGGAGTTGTTATAAGCACATAAGAAATAGGAGCAGGAATAGGCTATCTGGCCCATCGAGCCTGCTCCGCCATTCAGTAAAATCATGGCTGTCCTTTTTGTGGGCTTAGCTCCACGTATCCCAGCCTTGGAGAAGCAAAGTTTGGACATGATATAGGAGTATAAGATGATGATGATGGGAAGGCACGTTTCCATTAGTAGAGGAATCAGTAATTGGAGATCATCCATCTAAGGTACGAGGCAGAGGGCTAAGAGGAGTGTTGAGTTGAATGCTTTTTCACCCAGATGGTGGTGGGAGTACAGAACTCACTGCCTGAAAGGATAGTTAAGTCAACAGCTCTGGTAACATTTGAACAGTATTTAGATATTCACTTACGTTGCCATTTTTTCCAGGACTATTGGTCAATGGCTGGAAAATGAGATGAGTGTAACCACATTTTCGTTGACTAGAGAGGACGTAATGTGCCAAATGGCCTCGTTCTGTGCTATAAATGAGTCCACGTATCACACAAACTGGGCTGAAATGGCCGTGATTCAATTAGCAAATGCTGTGATCTCAGAGGTGTCTTATTTTGGATGGAATGTCAAAAATCAAGGCCTTTTGCATTCTTGCCTTTGGCTTAAAGGTTTCGACAACAGTGAGTCTAAGAGCACGAAGGTTTGAACAATCTCCCAGGATGATATTTACCCCTCAACAACATCACTAGAACACATTATGTCATCATCACCTCATCATTGTTTACTGGAGCTTGCTGTGTGAAAATTGGTTACATTTTCCTACTTAGCAACAGTGATTTCACTTCAAAATAGTTTGTGGCTTTGCTTTGTATATTTCCGGGTATCCTGACATGTGAAAGATGGTAGGGCAGTGCTTCTTAATTGCTCTTTTAATTAGAAATATGGATGGCAGCTTTATATAAAGAACACAAAATGCCTGCCTTCAGGAGGGCTTGTGATGTGGCGATAGTGCCCCTACCTCTGGACTAGAAGGTCCTGGTTCAAGTCTCATTTGTTCCAGAGGTGTGCAATAACATCTCGGGACAGGTTGATTTGGAAATATCTACAAAGTGTTTGCCACTACTCTTGTGGTGCTTTGGTAATGTCCATACACCTGGACAGGGGTTCAAGCCGCACATGCTCCAAGATGTTACATAGTCCTTTCCCCTTTCTTTCTTTCCACTCTCTCTCACTCCATTCCTGTCTCACCTTATTTCTGTCTGACTTTACCTCCTTCCTGCGCTTACCGAGCAGTATAATGATGCAGGTGAGGATGGCAATCAGTGCTCCAGTGCTTAGGCCTGCGGGCAGAGTCAGGGGTTCCGCGTTGCATGACTGTACACTCCCATCAGCACTGCAGCTGCACACCCGAATGGTGAGAGTATTGGTGCTGCTCATGACGGGGAGCCCTCCATCTGAAATCACCACCGGCAAGTGGTAGACTTCCTGTTTCCGCCGGCTTATCACCCCTCGGTGAACCTTGATGTCAGCGGTGTGTCCTGAATGGAGGAGAAACGGTGTTGAGTGAGCTAACAGAGAATATTGGACAAAATCCCTTAACGTACCGTCTCTGAATACCCCACCATCTACACCCTGGGAGTTACCATTGACCAGAACCTGACTTCCCAAAGCCTGTCCACCATCTACAAGGCATAAGTCAGGAGTGAGATGGACTACTCCCCCACTCACGTGATGAGCCCAAAAAATACTCAAGGTACCATTCATGACAAAGCAACCCGTTTGAGTGGCGCCATGGCTTTCCACTTTTACACCTGTCTGTAGTAACCACTAATGTTCAGTACAAGATACACTGCAGAAATTCATCAAGGCTCCTTAAACAGCACCTTCAAAACCTACAACCACTCCCATCCAGAAGGTCAAGGGCGGCAGATTCATAAGTCATTTATTATCCTAACTTGGAACTATATCGTCCCTTCCTTGCTAGGCCAAAATCCTAGAACTACCTCCTGAACAACATTGTTGATATACCCACACCAAATGGGCTGCAGCAGTTCAAGAAAGCAGCTCATCACCACCTTCTCAAGGGAAATAAAGGATGGGCAGCAAATTAGCTGAAAAAATGCTTACATTAGAAGGTGGAATATCATTAAAAAAGGTGAGCATCATGGTCTAGTGCTGATAATTTAAGGCTACCTCTGGGAACTTATGAATTTACAATCCCATCATTGGGATTTGTAAAAACATCCTAAATGATCAATCAATCCTTCAATTTTGTTCCAGTATTGAATTAGCTAGACCACAGCTTCTCTCCTTCAACTCCATCCATCATCCTTGTTATCCTTTGGACTCTTAACTAACAAGAACTGATTGATCCCAATTTTGAGATTTTGAACTGACACTCCCTCACATAAACCAAACCATGTTTTGGGGAGGGAGTTCCAAATTTCCATTAGCCTTTGTGTAAAAACCCAAAAGGTCCTGAAGTGAAGTGACTCAGGCAATATTCCCAGTTAAGGGGGTACATGTTGCACGGTGGCTCAGTGGTTAGCACTGCTGCCTCACAACGCCAGGGACCTGGGTTGGGTTCCACCTCGGGCGACTGTCTGTGTGGAGTTTGCACATTCTCCCCGTGTCTGTGTGGGTTTCCTCCGGGTGCTCCGGTTTCCTCCCACAGTCCAAAGATGTGCAGGTTATGTGGATTGGCCGTGATAAATTGCCCATCGTGTCCGGGGATGTACAGGCCAGGTGGATTAGCCGTGGGAAATGCAGGGTTAGAGGGACAGGTGGGTGGGTCGCTTTTCAAAGTGTCACTGTGGATGCTATGGGCTGAATGGTATTCACAATTTAGGGATTTCATGATTCTACATGACCACATTTGATACTCTGTGGCTGTGTCTCATTTCCTCAGGATGGGTAACAGATACCATCTTGTCAGTGTCATCCATTTCCTTCAATTTTCAAAACTAATTACAACATAAGATCAAACAACAAACACTCAGAACTTTCTTCCAGAATTAGAAATTCCACTGACTCTGGGAAGAGGGCTGTTAGTTGGCTATACAAGCTTCTTTGAGTTGCACCATTTATTCATTCAAAGCTTTAAACTTGTTTTCAGTCCTCCTGTTAAACCACTATCGAGACTGCTCTTATAATGGGAGTCACCATCAAGAACCATAATATAGAGGGTGCTTCACCATCAGGACTCCTTAAATTGAGGGGGTAGGATTCCTTTTATTGAGGGAGTTTGTTTGCAAATGTATAAAAACATGCTACTCTTGACTGGGAGACCTTGATTGATAGATGTCCTACTCTCCTTTGACTTTGAGGCCTGTTACACATACAGCACATGTCTGGTGCAGGTCAGACTTGAACCCAGGCCTTCTGGCTCAGAGGTAGGGTCACTACCACTGCACCACAGGGGCCCCTCCCAAGCCCAGCTCTATTTTTTTTAATATCCATAAACACCATCACATACAACTGAACACGTTTTCCCACCACCAAATCACCTGGAGCTTTTTGTTTTCATCTATTAATCACCATTTGTATTTTCCCCAATTGATTAACTTATGTGCAAAGCCATTCATGAGCATGGATGCTGGTTCGTTTCTTTAATTTAACCTATTTCTCTAATCAGCCCATTCAGAGATATTATTACACAGCTATGGAACAGGTGGGACTTGAACTCAGGTCTCCCAGTTCAGGAGTAGCGATACAACCACTGTGTCATAAGAGGGCCTTCAAGGGAATCTCACACTAAATACAAAGTCAAACAAGTAACACTTGTGCTGAATTAACCCTGGAACTCTTTTAGTTGAGGGTTATCTGTAACACTGATAGTTTAGGACCCCCATGTATAGGGAGTTTCACACGGATCAGGATCCCTTGTGGAATCTCACCATTGTGATTCTTTAAAAGAGGCTGTCGCTGGGTCAAAATCCTGGAATTCTGTCCCTAACAGCATTGTGGGTCAACCCACAGCAGGTGGACTGCAGCGGTTCAAGAAGGCAGCTCACCCCCACCTTCTCAAGGGGGGCAACTAGGGACGGGCAAGAAATGCTGGACCAGACAGCGATGCCCACATCCCATAAAAATGAATAGAAAAAAAAAGATAAGTAATTGTTGTCACCTTACAGTATCTTGAGTGTGATCTGAGACCACTCGAAGAGAATCAGCAAGTTTTACAAAGGGCATGTGAGCCATTCTGAGAGATCACCAACTAGATGGTGAAATGCTACCTGGTGATACACCATCAGGTGAACAGTGGAACAGGGTTAGGACCTGAAGAAGGTCCTGAAGCAGGATAATACCCGAAACGTTGGCTGCTCCTTTCCTCCAGATGCTGGCTGGCTGTGTTCTTCCAGCCTCCTGTTTGTCTACCTTGGATTCCAGCATCTGCAGTGCGTTTTTTTGTCTCTAACAGTTAAAAGCTCAACTCTTTTAAATGGAAAAGAAAGTCCCCTCTACACTGTCCCCATCAAACATTCCTGGGACCGGGACAGCACTGGATTAAATATCGAGTAAAGCTCACTGTAATCTTTCAGGCAGAAAGTGGACGTGGAGTTAAAATTCTCTTGACACTGCTTCCCACCAACATTCCCAGGACAGGGACAGCACGGGAATGAATATGCAGTGAAGCTTCCTCTACTCCTTGAACTAATAGTTCTGGAAGTAAAGTTTCCTCAACTTTTTTGAACTGAAAGTAAGGTTCCCCTTCAAATGCTCCTGGGACAGGGACAACAATGGGTTAAAATTCAAAACAACTCTCCCTTGTTCTGTCCAGGGGCCCAAAACTAAATAATAATCAAGTCGCCCCCGCATGTTCCTGCTCACCTCGAGCGTGTTAATTTTACATTGTGAGATTACAAACTTACATGACCAAAGACACAGTCATTAAACCCAAACATCTTAGTAAGTTTTTTACTTTAACTATCTGTTGGTCTTCCAGTTCAGTTTCTCAGCACAGCCTTTCACTGTCTTCTGTCTGAGCTTATTCTCCCAATTGACGGGATAGATATTAGTGTCTTATCGACGATGTCAAAAAGAGTTATCAGGACTTCAGTCACGTAGAGGAGCTGGTAATATTCTCTGTTGAACAGAGAGGTTAGCAGAGGTGTCAAAATCATGAAAGATTGTTTTAATAATGGTATTTATCCCTTTAATGCAACCTGTGCAGTGAACATTATTTGAGAAGAATGCAAAAGCAAAGCTTTTGGGCAATTTGGTAAAGTGATGCTGAAATTCTGAAAGTAAGACAGTGGCATCAGTTCTGAAAGCTTTAAGAGCTCTTTAATGTTATGTTGAGGTTGTACAGGACATTGGTGACGCCTCTTCTGGTGTAGTGTGTTCAGTTCTGGTTGCCTTGTTATAGGAAGGATGTTATTAAGCTGGACAGGGTTCAGAACAGATTTACCAGGATTTCATCAGGAATGGAGGGTTTGAGTTATAAGGAGAGGCTGGATAGGCTGGGACTTTTTTTCACTGGAGCGTAGAAGGTTGAGGGGTGACCTTATAAATGTTTATACAATAATGAGGGAAATGGATAAGGTGAATGGCGGGTGTCTTTTCCCTAGGGTGGGGAATTTCAAGACTAGGGGGCATATTTTTAAGATGAGAGCAGAAAACTTCAAAAAAGACATGAGTGGCAATTTTTTTTACACAGTGTGGTTTGTGTGTGGAATGAACTTCCAGAAGAAGTGGTGAATGTGGGTACAGTCACAATATTTAAAAGACATTTGGATAAGTTCATGAATAGGAAATGTTTGGAGTGATATGGGTCAAGCACAGGCAGGTGGGGCTAGTTTAGTTTGGGATTATGGTCAGCACGGACCGGTTGGACTGAAGGGGCTATTTCCTTGCTGTATGACTCTATAATGATGACTAACTCAATCACACCATTCAGGGAAACAGGCGGTACCTCCTTCCACTTTTCACTGCACCTTTCTCCTCTAAACCCCCGTTCTCAAAAATTGATTTAAAAAGTAAATCCTGACCACTATTTCCACAAAGATTTCAAGGGCTTTGATATTTAAATTAGAATAAAAATACTGTTTCCACAGGTAGGAAGGATGTAACGACAGGTTATCAGATAATTAGCAAAAGAACCAGGGTTGAGATGAGGAAAATATTTTACGCAGCAAGCTGTTTATAGTAATGCCTGGAAGGGAGCTACAAACAGATCCAATGTAACTGTCAAAAGAACGGGATATGCAACACAGGAAGGAAAATTTGCATGGCCAGGGGAAAGAGCTCGGGAGTTGGACTAATGGGATGACTCTTTCAAAGAGCTAGCAGTAGCCCTATGGACTAAATGGTCTCATTCTGTACTGAATGATTTCACTACATAATGTATTCAGCACACCGATTTGAAACAGCAGCGATCAGAGGGCGAAAAACATACAGGATGACATTGGTTTTCTGTTAACAGTTTCGAAAAGGCAGGGCCAGCCCTGATTTTGGAAAACCATAAAGCTGAAACAAAAGCAGAAAGAAACCGCTCCCAGGCATAAATTTTTCATTGTCTGTTTACAGTCAGAGGATG